TTTTTTTTTTTTTTTTTTTAAATTAGGAACACAGTGGCCCCTAACCTGTAATTTTAGGGATGCAAGTAGTAAAGCTTAGAAATTGACTTGTGAAGTAAGTATTCACATTTGCACTTGTTTTCACTATATTACTGATAAATAGATGGAAGTGTGGAGCGGAGGTTTGTCAGCAGAAAAAAAAACAAAGAATTAAAAAAAAGAAAATGTAAAAAAAGTCAGGACATAGTGTTTAGTTTCACTGTCTCAAATTGTAGGGACAAAATGCCACCATTTTGTCCCTGCAATTTTTAGTTTTGAGCAGATGTGAGCAATTGCGGTCCTCGAGGGCCATTTTTTTTTTTTTTTTGTGACAATCACCATCATCATCCGGATCCTGAACGATACTTGTCCTCTTGACTCGCCACACTTCCACTACGGCAGCGTCCTTGTGCCTGGTGTGTCACCTTAAGGCCTTATTCTCAACATGAAATGACACCGAAAAAGAGGCCAATTCCCCACAGCGCAACTTCATTTTTCATCTCCTGCAGTGCAACAAAAAAATAATAAATAGGCGTCCTCTGGTATATACTTCTGTACACATATCGTTTCTACATGAGCACGCAGCTCTTGGCTCGGTCCTTCCTCAGGACGGGCGCTTGGTCCGCGGGCTCATTCCGGCCCGGCAGCGGCGGAAGGGGGAGCTGGGATGTGCGCTTGAGCGCCCGGCGGGAGGCGCTGCGCTTGAGCGGCGGCTTGTGGGGCCGGCGCACCGACGCAAGCGTGGTGACGTGGAACACGTCCCGCACGCTGTTCTCCGACACTTTGGACGTGCACTCGGCGTAGGCCGCGGCGCCCATCTGCCGGGCAATGGTGCTGCCCTGCGTGCAAAACAAAAGGCAATGTGGAGGTGAAAGGCGTTTTTGTTATTCGGGAACAAAAGCCGTAACATTAATATCAAAAAGTAATACTTTTTAAAGATTTTTTTGAAACACCAATATCAATGCTTTTAAGAAAAATGTAATCACAACAGTCTGACTTTTTTTTTTTTTTTTTTTTTTTTAAGACCAAAGCTGTAACTCTGTGGCAAAAGGTTATATTTTTTTTGGGGGGGGGGCAGAAATAATTAAACCAACGCAAATATAAAATATTCCCATGATGTTGAGAGAAGGAGTTTCTTTGTTTTTGAGGAAAAACAGCAGTTCTTTGAAAAAAAATGTCGGTATAGTACATAGAAAATATTCACTGCTTACTGCTAAAATAGTTCTAATTTTTTAATGAACAAAATAATATCCTTTTTTTCCCAGAAAATTGGAAAATCATTCAAAAAAAGAATTTACAGCCTTAATATTCAGAGAACTTGGAAGTCGCAAAAAAAAAAATTATATATATATATATATATATATATATATATATATTTTTCAGTCACCTGATGCATGATGCTTGTATTTTTTTTTTTTTTATGAGAGCATCTTAGGTTTCAAGAAAAAATGGATGAAGTCATAAAAAGTTACTTTTGTTAAGAAGTCAAAATGGATGACAAAAAAAGTTCGAATGTTATAAAACAAAACTTTTAAAGAGGAAAAAAAATAAAAAGTTGGGCAACTCAGTCATAATTTTAGTTGTACTTCATTTTTTAAAAGTCCCAATTTGCTCCTCTTGTTGATTTAGATTGTGTTTTTAAAAATGACGGCAGAAATTTCAATCAAGCTCTCGCAGGTGTACCTAATGTCGTGTCCGGTGAGAAGGCAGCTATTAAAGAAAAGGCGCAGCAGAGGAATAAAACAAGTGTTGACGATGGTTCCCCTCCTTCCTGTTCGACACAGCGGAGCGTGTCAGGCCGTCTTTTGTTGACGCGTCTTATTTACATGAGCGCTTCGTTTCCCAGGTGCTGACCGTTTATTGTTGAAGGCCGCGTCAACTCAGACAACACGGCAGACAGCTTTTTTTTTTTTTTTGCCGTGACGGCTTTTGTGCGGGCACCCATCCGACGGAACGAGCTGATTATAATTCGCGCCTCGGCCGAGCGTTTTATCGGGCCTGCCTCAAACCGACGCGGAGGTCGGAGAGGCCGGGCTCGCTCGTTTGTCAACGTCTGTTTTCTAGCGTCGGAACATGCAAATCCGCGCGGGTGTCCACGGTCACGGGGGTCAGCGAAAACGCCAACAAAAGTGCCGAGCCAAGCGAAACGTCAACATTCTCACCAACAAATAAAGAAGAGCTGATTTGAATTTCGCCATCCCAACCGACTCCACGGTTTTGCTCTGAGCCGTTCTTGGCTTTTGCTCTGAGCCATTTTGAGTCGTTTCCCAGTTGTGAGTCTCATGAGTGACTTTTGGGGAATATTGAGCCCCCCCCCCCCCAAAAAAAAAAAAGAGGACCAACTTGTAGGTTGTGCGTCCTTGTTACCTGCTCATGGGTGACGGGGATGAGACGCTGCTTGGAGAGTTCCCTCAGCGTGTTGACGTCTGTCCTCATGTCCAGCTTACAGCCCACCAGCACCACTTTGGCGTTGGGACAAAACTCCTGCGTCTCCCCCTGCCACTGTGGACACAAACAACAACACTGTGGGTTGCTTTCTTTCTTTCTTTCTTTCTTTCTTTCTCTTTTTTTTTTTGCATTCCTACAGTCCCCAAAGTCTGTCCAAAAATCAAATGAGTGGACTTGCCTTTGGGAGCAATCAAGCTGCATTCAGTACCCAAATGCGATGGTAGCAAAAAGTAGGGCAAAATGATTTTGAAAGTAAAAAAAAAAATCTCATTGTGATTGGGTCGCTTGGGTTTTCTCTGTGTATTTGGGTTCCCTGCCAGATTCTAAAAACGTGCATTTGGTTCTTATATTGAACCGCACTATAGGTGTGACTCAGCATTAAACTAGCGGACTGAAAGACTATGGTAAGTGGTTCTTTTAAATACACATGGTGGAAAAGATACAAAAGCTGGAAATGGTAGAAAAAAAGGATTTCCGGATGGATGGATGGATGGAGAAACCAGTTTCTTCCAACTTGTGTGTGCCAAATTGTGGCCAATGAGGCTCAGCTGAAACAACACTTGTCTCAATATGTGTCACACAAATGCACAAGGACACAGCACAGCATGGAATATTTTGCATACCATGTGACCATTGTCAGACCCTCCCGCTCAGCCTGTGTGATATTTAAAAAAAAAAACAAAACAAAACAAAAACATCTGACCTCTCAAAAACAAGCCCCAGTCAAAGGCTTTGATTGTTCCTCACCGCGGCAGCCTTGCTTGTCAACGCAAGTCAAAAGTCTAATTTGGGACGGCGGTTGTTGCAACAGGTTTTGAACGCGGCCCTGCGATGAGATTAACAGGGCGACGGCTCGGGGGCCAGGGGTCACGGCAACCCCCTTCGCCTTTCCCTGTGCCGAGGGGATTCATGGGAAAACACTTGCGCTTGTTGACAGGCTCCACTGAAGCCTGTCCACATATTCGAGGGTACCCTGGGTGTAGATCAACAAAGTCTGCAGGGGGTAGACACTCTGAAGCCCACCAGTAGCCCACTAAACATCACAACAGAAAATGCCTTTGATAAAATATTCAGTAGAAAAAACCCCACTAAACGACTATACTGTGATGTCATGAAATTGATTAATTGTTCAGCCCAATGGCAAAGTCAAACGATTTTTCCCGTCGTCAAACGGTTGTCATGAGACAATCTTGATCAACTGTGCGCAAGTGCATAACGATGCACATCGTCAGAAGAACAAATCTTCCACCACCTTCTCCACTCTTTAGTCGGAATTTTGCGCTTGTGTGCGGCCTCTCATCTACGATACGGACTCTCAAGGCTCATTTGCGTATTGTATGACCCCCCACCCACCCCCACCCACACGCTCACGCTTGGGTTTTCTCTGTGTATTTGGGTTTCCTGCCAGATTCTTAAAACGTGCATTTGGTTCTTATATTGAACCGCACTATAGGTGTGACTCAGCATTAAACTAGCGGACTGAAAGACTATGGTAAGTGGTTCTTTTAAATACACATGGTGGAAAAGATACAAAAGCTGGAAATGGTAGAAAAAATGGATTTCCGGATGGATGGATGGATGGAGAAACCAGTTTCTTCCAACTTGTGTGTGCCAAATTGTGGCCAATGAGGCTCAGCTGAAACAACACTTGTCTCAATATGTGTCACACAAATGCACAAGGACACAGCACAGCATGGAATATTTTGCATACCATGTGACCATTGTCAGACCCTCCCGCTCAGCCTGTGTGATATTTAAAAAAAAAAACAAAACAAAACAAAAACATCTGACCTCTCAAAAACAAGCCCCAGTCAAAGGCTTTGATTGTTCCTCACCGCGGCAGCCTTGCTTGTCAACGCAAGTCAAAAGTCTAATTTGGGACGGCGGTTGTTGCAACAGGTTTTGAACGCGGCCCTGCGATGAGATTAACAGGGCGACGGCTCGGGGGCCAGGGGTCACGGCAACCCCCTTCGCCTTTCCCTGTGCCGAGGGGATTCATGGGAAAACACTTGCGCTTGTTGACAGGCTCCACTGAAGCCTGTCCACATATTCGAGGGTACCCTGGGTGTAGATCAACAAAGTCTGCAGGGGGTAGACACTCTGAAGCCCACCAGTAGCCCACTAAACATCACAACAGAAAATGCCTTTGATAAAATATTCAGTAGAAAAAACCCCACTAAACGACTATACTGTGATGTCATGAAATTGATTAATTGTTCAGCCCAATGGCAAAGTCAAACGATTTTTCCCGTCGTCAAACGGTTGTCATGAGACAATCTTGATCAACTGTGCGCAAGTGCATAACGATGCACATCGTCAGAAGAACAAATCTTCCACCACCTTCTCCACTCTTTAGTCGGAATTTTGCGCTTGTGTGCGGCCTCTCATCTACGATACGGACTCTCAAGGCTCATTTGCGTATTGTATGACCCCCCACCCACCCCCACCCACACGCTCA